CCCCCTCTCCCCAGCGCCGCTCAGTCAACGGCCCAAGCGGCCGTTACGACAGTCGGTTTACCTTAGCCTTTGTGCAGCCTAGAGTTTTGTTAGAGCCGTTATCCAGGTATTGTTATTACCGATTATTCGATCATCACTATTTCGTTATTATCCACTCATGAATATTATCACACGATTGTCGAGCAGTTATTATTATCACTACCATTTAATATTCGAGTATACTATCACTTCTTATTCAGATCTTATTTAATTTATTCGGTTGTTATTTAATTATTGTTATTTTGCATAGAAAAGTAAGTCAGGCGTGTCGTTATGACAATTTCTTTACCTCGCCTTTAATCAGTTATTATCGCCGTTGCTCAGTTACTGTTATTCATTGTTATTACCGATTATTCGATCATCATTATTCAGTTATTATCCGCTCGCGGCTGTTATCACACGATTGTCAATCAGGTATTACTATAGTTATTATAATAAAGTAATAATATTCGAATAATAAATAGTAGTGATAATAATACCTGATCGACAATCGTGTGATAACAGCCGTGAGCGGATAATAACTGAATAACGATGATCGAATAATCAGTAATAACAATGAATAATAACTGGGCAACGGCAATAATACTTGATTAAAGACGAGGTAAAGAAATTGTCGTAACGGCACGCCCGAGTTGCTTTTCTATACGTAATAGCAATAATTAAATAATAACCGAATAAATTAAATAATAATCGAATAAAGAAGTAATGATACTAAATGGATATTAAATGGATGATGATAATATTTAATCGGCATTGAGGAACTCGATCGCGACGTTTCTCTATCTAATAAGTGAAAGTAAATGAAACGCGCTAATTACCTGTCGCGGTAAAGCCCGCAACACCTGCTCGCGTGAGGAGTACGCGTCTTAATTTATCTTAATTATCGCTTCAATTGTCGCGTAGTCGAAACGCGGTATTAAAAATCGGCGCGGAATAATTTAGACAATAACGCGGCAACTCCCAATGTGTTCACCTCGACGATTGACAGTGTTATGGTGTGATGCTCGAACACGTTCTCACGCACTTGTTTACATGCCGCGGCCGTTACGACAGTTCGTTTACCTAGCCTTTGTGGAGCCTAGAGTTTTTGTTAGAGCCGTTGCCCGTATTGTTATTATCGATTATTCGATCATCGTTATTCCGTTATTATGCTCGCGGATATTATCACACGATTGTCGAACAGATATTATTATCACTAACATTTAATATTCGAGTATTATTACTTCTTTACTCGGTTATTATTTAATTTATTTGGTTATTATTTAATTATTGCTATTATGCATAAGAAAGCAACTGTTACGACGATTTCTTCGTCTTTGTTCAGTTATTATATATATACACACGTCGTTATATATATATATACACACACACACACACATACTTTCTCTCTCTCTCTCTCTCTCTCTCTCTCTCTCTCTCTCTCTCTCTCTCTGAATATTCGGACGTTGTGAAAAGTGCGATAAAAGTACGATGCCATCTCGAAAAATATCCGTGAACTAATTTTTCGCTCTACTTTATCATAATTGTTAAAACCTAATCGCATGTAATCATAAACTTTTCTGCAAACTTTTCGTATCTTTTTTTAGCATCAAAACTAAATTTTGAAAGTGTAATAGTGATCTTTGAAATTTTCCTGATTGGATTTACACATTTTTGTTGTGTAAAAGCGTTTGGAATTCTGGGCAAGCAACAAGACGTAAACTTTGCAGAAAAAAGTTAATGTTATGTTGATAAAATTTTCATGTCCAGCATCCCCTTAAATCTAGGTTTAATCTACTATTGAAAAACCGGCCCTTATAGTTATTAATTAAAAAAGATTGATGAATTATCGTGTGTGATACTATAGAAACGGTGCCTTGATCGTGCTAATTAGCGATTAACTGACGCTACTCCCCTCTGGCCTATCACCGCTCGACGCTCGATGCTCGCCTAACGCAATCCTACTCTACTCGAGCGTCGAGCGGTAACAGGCTTCCCTAAAAAGGAGCGACGCACAAAGAGCTCTGATTAGCGCGATTTAGGAATCACTTTTCAGCATTTCACTCACAGTATCATATACAATCATTCGTCAATTTTCTTCAAATAATGACTAAAAATTTTACATAATTGTTCGCAAAATGGTAGAGAAATTTTTTGTTCAGTTTGACCTAACTTATATGCACACGAAATAAATAAATGTCAGACACCTTGTATATGTGTGTGCGTGTGTGTGTATGTATACATATTACCATACTCACGTCGTACAATTAAATACGCGAGTCTAACGAGAGAATCTAACACTCGCCGTGGATTACGGGGGATAAGTTGGAGCGGCGGAATTTACGTTTATACATCAGCCGAGATAAATGAATCCTCGTTAGGTCGAGCACGATGAACCCTCGTTTGCATCATTCCCGAGGCTCTCGATCAAAGTGAAACTTCCTGACTTCCCGATGTCGAGAGCGGCATATATTGAACCGGCGACCTTCAAAGGGCCGTTTGAAGTATCGGAAGGTGTGCCCTTAATGTTTTACCGCCGATTCCGCCGGCGATCGCTGACGTTACCATAACGATCTCCCTCACTTTCTCTCCCTCCCTGCCGCCCCACTCTTTCTCTCGCCGTCAGAAAGCTTCGTCGGTCGCCGCAATTTATATTTCGAGAGCGGTTCGTTTTAACGAATGTATGAGCGCATTATATAAGGCGAGTTCTCGCGTATAAGCGCAGATAAAAGTGCGATCGCGCGAGCACGCGCTAGTGCTAGCGCGCGAATCCTATTTGTCCGTTTTACGTTGATTATGAATCGTACAAAGAGCTCGTTTATCGAGTTTCGAGGTACATTTGGCAGCGAGTGACTTTGAATGGTAACGTAATATTGGAGAGGAGAAGCGGTCATAACTATGTTACTGACCGTAAATGGTTCCACGCTCTTCCACAGTTTAGGTTCTCACGTCTCGCAATAAGTGAAATGTCCTATATTTGGCCGATAATACTGTATGTAATACTACGAGCATCGCTCTAGATCATCGTCGAGATCAAGTAAACTGCGAATGCACGATTCGTGTATTCAATTTTGCCATTTTGGATGAAATTAACGCCACTTGACGCAAAGTAGAAAGAGAAGTAAGAATTTGCAAATAAATATAACGGTTCCATCGTTTATACAATATAAATATTTGTTATGACTAAATTACAGTTAATCCTTAAGAAATATAATTCATCTGGTATCGCCATTTTGAGGGCCATATTGTATTTTCTAGAGAGCCTAGCGATTACATGATCAATGCGTCCTGTATTTCTATTATTACTTTTTTTTTTGCTTTTCCTACACCACCTCCTCCTAGAGTTTAACTGAGAAATTATTTGACTTAGTATACTTTTATCCTTCAATCTTGTTATCATCCATATCGTAAAGATGCGCAGTTCATTTTACATCTATGGTTTTACTTAGCGAAAAATATAATTATATATATATATATATATATATATAGAAATCTGCGTGCAAACTTTTTGTTTATTTTTAAGCTTCTAAATTTCAATCGTAAAGATACAGAAGCGAAAATTTCTTCGAAATTTTCCTGAAATTTACGCTAATTGACAGCTCGTTAATTTCTAAACTTTCATCACATATTGACCAAGGTTCCAATTTATTTCTTCATCGTGTAAAAACATTAGTAATTTAATGCAATCAATACGACATGAACTTTGCAAAGAATGATCAGTGTTTTCGTTGACAAAGTTTTCAAGTGTAACATCCCCTCAACAAAAGAAATTCTTTTCTCGCGGTGTCTTTCTCGACTCTTGAGTAATCTCTCGGATAGTTGCGTGAAACGATTAATTAAACCAAAATAATTTATTAGAATGTGTCATTCGGAAGAAGAAAAGATCGCTCGACAACGTTGTGACGAGTCGTAATTTCGTAACGATAGCAACGATGATAGGCACTCGATACATTAGCATGAGCTCCATCAAAATGACAAAACAATTTTATAAATGGAGATCCGCGACACACGACACGATAAATCATCGCGCCCCATGCATAACGAAAGTGGCGAAGTCATCGATATATTTCGATGCATGTTTTTCACACCCGGTAATTAACGAAGAATTTCCCCGGCCACGGGAAGGAGGAGGTAGGAAGTCTCCGCGGTACCGGAACCGGATGTTTCTGTCGTCGGTTGTGTTTTTCTGCCCCTTGCGGGTATCATGCACGTATCTGACTTTGACCGTGACTCAGCCAGGCGCCGCCATTTAAGTCGTGCCAAAGGGGAAAACAGATAGGCATCGCATGTTAGGCGCGCTCGC